CGTGAGTCACATATCCTGTTACCAGTGATCCAATACTCTTGGACCAGAGTTATGTCTACTTCGCCTGAGGGCTGTTGAAGTAGGAGCGCATCAGATACTTATTGGAATGAAGGTTAATTTGGACAGTAGTTTTCAGACGAAAATCTTCTTTCTTCCACGGCGCACCAGCTTCCTCCTTACTGAGAAGTTAACACACCTAGTATAGCCTCCTTAAGGCCTCGCCTGCAACCAGGCAGCTAAAGAGTTGTGGTCCAGGATTTTCTTTTTCACCTACGCTTTGCAGCCTCCATCTTGCCATACTTATTTGGGTCGAAGTCCGTAATAATCTTCCTTCCCCACGAAATGACCTCCTCTCTGACCGGTGAGGTGGCCTAGAGACAGAAAATTCGCGAAGCGGGACGTCGGACTTTAGATTTCTCGGACCAGGGAGTACCTTACTAGGTATGTATAAGACTGTTTTTAGATGGACCCGTTGGTGTCATTTCTTTATTTTCTGCGGGGAACGTCCGCCCACAAAAAGGACCTCAGTACCCGGGTACGGTCGGATAGCTCCGAACATCTCCAGAGTACTACGTTCGCGACTGGAGTCTGTGTAAGGCTCCAGCCGGCCCTGAAAAGAGTAGGAAGGGAATAAAGCATAAGTGTTGGGATTAAGGATGGCATTACCAGGTGTCACCATGGGGAGCATATACGAATCAACGTTTTGTACATAACTGAATAATCTAACCCCGTAATGAGAATTTTTTACTAGAATTAAATTTTTTTCCTTTTTTTTGGTCACCGGATGCCACTATCCAAATCCTACGTAGAATTGCCCGGTGATTACTCCTATGGATCAGTTTTCGAGATATTTGCAATTTACCTTTAGTAGTGTGCGCCAAATAAAATCTAACCAAATCCTCCAAAAAATTTATCAACCATTCCAATTTCTTTGTTTTTTTGATGCAAAAATGACAGAATTCAAAATCAAAATATATAACGATTTTTTTGCGATTTTTTTTTTTTATTTTGTATAAAGGCCTTTACAAAAGAGAAAAAACAAGCTACCAATGAAGCAAATCGATGAATACATTTAAAAGGAATGAGTGGTCAAATGAAAATGCGCAGAGATATTTTGTATGAAAAATGAGCAGGAAAGAAGTATTTAGACGATTTCTGAAAAGAGTAACATTGTTTGACTCCACTTCAGGGTCAAGATGAGTATGGCAGTCTGAAAAGCGATTATATACTTTGGAATAGTTGAGCAAAAATTTCAGATGCCGAAAATAAAAATCATAAACCCCATATATGTATAAGGGACATCCAGTTCACAATTGTCACGCATTATCCGGCAGATTTCTTGAATATACCTATGTACAAATCGTCGCCTCAGAAAACGGATGACGAATGTGCAAAATGACGATTTTGGGATTTTGATGCAGATTTACTAAGTTGGACATGCTCTTTCGATTTCTGCAATCCATTTTTTTATATCTCCATTAGTTTTTGAGATATTTCGTGCGCATTTTGTCGTATGTTACATAATATTAATGATTGGGTATGCCTTTTGTTGTATGTGCTGAAAATGCGTCACATACGACAAACATTCAAAATCAAAATATATAACGTACCTTTTTTTTAATCATAAAACATTTGTCGTATGTGGCACATACGACAAATTCCCATACAAATGTAATCTTTTTTTAATCATAAAACATTTGTCGTATGTATCGCAAAACTTTGAACTTACGACAATTCGATGGTCCTCTACTATAACGATACAATTAAAATTAAAAATTAAACTAAGTAACTAATTTTAAAATCTTAAATTTTTAAATTTTAGCTTGCACTGAGTCTCCAATGAAATGAAAGAAATAAAAATGTACAAAAGACTGAATTTAAGTATTGTTTTTTGTTTTTATATAAAGAAAACGTATGTTCGTAACATATTTACAGCATAAGAGATGTACAGATTTTTTTTATTAAATACATGATTATGTTTTTGTTATGTTTTTTCTAATAAGTAATCATTATTTAATAAACATGTCTGGTTTTTTCATCAAATTATAACTACCATCGTCGTTGAAATAGATACTTTACTATTGTCGTATGTTCTGTGGACAAAACAAAGTGGTGAGTAAACGCTACTTACGACAAATGTATACGGAATGAAAAGTCAAATTTCTCATTAACGTTAAGAGATATTAAATGTAAAAATATGGAAAATCAAAACTAATACCACCAACTACGTCTCCTTCAAAAGTTACAAAAATCTACCGTACAGTTTCGGATTAATTCGACCTTAAACTTCAAAGTCAATTTTCTCAAAACCGTGTTTTGTAACATTCGACATCCGTTTTCTGAGACGACGAAATATAGATTAGCTCTTACACATACATATGTAACGAACGGCGATTGTATTTTTATGATTTTTTCGGAGGATTGCCGAGGGTCGACCGTTAATAGAAAAAAACTTTTTTTTGTGGTTTTTATTTTTTTGATGTTGGGTGGAACTAGGGTTACCAGACCTACTGCTTTTGGGAGTAAACGTACTCCTTTTTATTGAAATGTACTCCCAAAAAAAATCTGAGAATGTACTCCTTTTTTAGTTGTTTACTTCTTTCGTACTCCTTTTTCCAGCTATTAATTTTTTATCATATACAGGGTGTACAAAACATATCATATCATATACAGGGTGTGTTTTAAAACTAATTAATGAAATTAAAGTAATTTATTTACAAAGTTAACAATAAAATACTTCTTTCGCAAATTCTATAAAGGACCCCTTTATTTTTCAAAAACCCTGTGCCACAGTTATTATTTTACGCCCTGTACTTTGCCATTCACATTAGGTTTGTTCCACACGAGCTCGGGGATCCCGCGGATGCCCAAACAGCCCAGAAAGCGTTACTCACGCTAGAAAAATGGGTAATAGAGAGCGAATACCTTCCACTTTCGGATCGTCAATGTCTGCTTCTTCGCACCCGAAACAGCCCGGACTTTTTTTGTTTGTTTACATCCGAATGAAAATTTTGTAAAATACAAAAAAAGAAATAGTACTAAAGTTTCAAAAAATGTTGGTATTTGCTAATTTATTAGCCATATAAGATAAATCCATATAAAATCATTGTTTAGAGTTGTTTTGTTGATTCCGGGCACGAAATGTGGTTTTTGCGTTCCTCACGCTCTGGGCACTTTTGGCACGTGTTGACAAATTTTTGACACTTGTGAGAGAGTAACTTATTTTTACGCTCTAATTACCAAAATAGCCCGGAAAGCGTGTGGAACAAACCCATTGTGGCGAACACTACTTAGTAAGCAAAGTTACGTGTGAGAGTAAAAAGGTGTAAGCATGGTCGTAGCCAGGTAGGTGCAGGGCGCTCGTTTATAAAAATCAGAAAAATATTAAATGAATTATAAGGCTGAAATTAAAAAATAGCCGTACATTCAGGAAGAGTCTGGAATTCTTTTGGGGAATTTATTTATTTGTAATATCTATTGCTTTGAAAAAGATATCTAAGAAATCTTTGTTTGTGTGTACCTAATTAATTAAAACGATCTCAAATATGTCATTGTACGTATATTTACTTTTTGGTAATTTGTAACAATAAATTGCACAAAAAATTAAAAAAAATGTACTCTTTTTTTATGTTTGTACTGAAACATATATGAAAATAGAAATGTACTCCCTTCTCCATTTCAGAATCTGGCAACCCTAGGTGGAACCGGGCTTGAACACAGGCACTGCGGGCGGTAGCGCGCACTGCTAACCACTACTATAACCATAATAACTATTTATGGGAATTAAATTTTTTTTGCTCTTAATGCCTTGAAAACACAAAGAGTTTGTTTCACCAAGATTTACAAAAATAACACTGAAGCGCGCTATGTATGTAAATAAAAGCAGAAACATAAATATCTGCTGTACTTTACTACATTTATGCGTTAAAAAGTACTCATATCTCAATGCGTTGAGAAGTTAGCGAAACAAATACTCAAAGGAATAAGAAGAAACTCAGCTTGTAAAAAAGGAAATATTATAAAACCGTCATCTGCAAATATTCGGAATCGCTGTTTAAATATTCGGCCAAAGAATATAATGCACGTATGCCCCCGGAAAAGCTCGTCCACACTACTGTACCATGTATATACCCTGCAGTAAAATTTAGAGACAGTCTGACAAAGCGCTAGTTCCGAACTACATATCTCAGAACTATCTCTGAACTAGTGCAAAAGGAATGCAGAGCGGGACAGTTGAAACTTGCGGTGTTTATGTGCAAATGATCACTACTCGTACAATACGAAAGTAGCTCAGCGAGAAGACCTCCGACTCAACCATCGTTGGTCGCGAGTTCAAATCGCGGTGGAGGCAGTTGTGAGTTTTCAAATTTAATGAATTTAAATTGTTGCGTGCGGTTTACAATATATATATATATTTTTTTTTATAAATTATGTAACAAAAACGGAATCTGTAAAAAAGAAAAAACGAAAAAAAATGTCCAAAAATCGAATCGCAAAAACGTCTTCTTATAAAAAAAAACTTTCCAAAAAGGAATCGGTTAAAAACTGGTTGCAAAGTTATGCACTGGGCGACAATTGCCACCGCCAATGACATCGCCGTGTAAAACTGTACAGTTGAAAGCATTGCTTGGGTATTGAGCTAGAACTGGTACTGTCGGCAAAAGGTCTAGCTCTACGCTAGTTCTAGGCTAGGCAGATTATCTGCAGGGTATGAATATGTACTTGTGTGTATAAAAGTATATGTACATACATGTGCGTATGCGAATATGGTTACATCCTTGTTTGCCCACTTGTGTGGACAAAGGACTCCACACATCACAATGTATCTTATATGTACATATGCAAACATATTCATGCATACATATGTACCTAAGTATGTATGTACATATGTAGATGATTTTAAATTGTAAGAGAGCATCATTTGTAACATCCACAAAAAATAAAATGTAACATAAAATGAGGCACAAGACCACTATGTAGCCAGTATTGCGTGGTCGGCAGGTCGAACGGTTGCCTGAATGTTTTTTCTAGTCGTCACCGCACTTTTGGGGTTGCAGTTAGCATGGTGGGTTGATGGACGCAGTGCTGTGGGAGGCAAGTGAAGAATCATAAACGGTGGGTAGAGTGAGATGGGTGCGTGCTTCAAAGTGGCTGACAAGAGGGCCAGCGCACTAAATAACTATAAAAAGGACTTTGAAGAGGGTCAAATGGAGATAAATTTGTGTATTCTTAAGCAGTAGTGAAGGTAGCCACGACATGTGTTTATGCGGAAAAGCTGAATGGGTTACTGCTTGTGCGATGTGTTTTCATTTTATTTGGTCATTCTGCTCTAAATGGATGCTATATGTTTGCCGCTATTTTTGTTAGCATACACACAGAGATGTATGTATGTATTTACCCTGCAGGGAAAGCTACCAGTTGTTAACTAGAATTTTACCAGTTTTCGTTTCAGGCCAACTAGTTCACGTTCTATCTTTTTTCAATGTTAGCGACTGGTATTTTTAACATGGCGATGTCCTACGAGATATCAATTTTCAGGCTATGCATCAGCATATACTATTAGAAATACCAGTAGCACCATACCATTTGATGAGATAGGCTGTCAATTCATTCCCCGCGAAAAGCATAGGCTGGTATTGTCACTCGGGAAGCGAATGAAAATAACGGCGAATTTCGCTGTCTCGAATTGTGAGAAGCGAATTTCCATCGAATTCGCCGCAAAATGGCGAACGGTTGTCGAAAATGAATTTCTTGCATTGCCACTAGCGAAAAAGCGACATTCGCTTCGCCAGAGCTGTCAAAATTTGTCGACTGTTTATTTGGTTCGCGTTTGAAATAGAAAGGACGTGAGTAAATTTTAATTTAATTTATTTAACAAAACAAAATTTCCAGAACAAAACGGACAACAACGCAGCAGTTCCAAAAGCTGGTTGCAATTATGGAAAACAATCCAGACGTCGCTAGAGGAATGGGAAGCTTCGGTTCCACGAAGAAAATCAGGGCAGAGCTGTGGGAAAATTCGCAACTGAACTTAACGCTATTGGTCCTCCAATGCGTAACGGACGCGAGTGGAATAAGGTAAGAACTGAACTAGTTTGTGTTGCCGTAGTTACTTATGAGTACTATTTAGGTTTGGTTGGATTACAAGCTAAAGCTAAAAAAAAATTGCGACAAACCGACGAGAAACTGTGGCCACAGGGGGAGGACCTTATACACAACAAAGCTTAGCACCACTAGAGCGAACCGTTGGTGAGCTTCTCCACCTTCAGGAAGCAGTCAACCCAGCAGGCTCTTCATTTGGAACAAACGTGGAAGAAAATGCGGTGAGTGGCAACGGAATTGATTTAGAGCAGCCACTGGGCGAACAAGCTCCGGATGCGGATTTGGTACCGCGATCATCAACTCCACGGCCAAGGATGACAGTTGGGGATCGAGAAAGCATTCGGATCAAAGCGTTGGAAAAGCAGGCTGAAGTGCAAGACACACTTTGCGAGAGGATCTCAAATATTGAGAAGAAGCTTGAAGAAATCGCGAGGTATACGAGAAAGACATACGATTTAAAAAAGGAAGAATTAAATTTATTGAAATTAAAGGAAGAAAGGAAGAGGGAAGAAATTTTAGAGAAGAAAAGACAGCATAAGCAAAAGATGGAAATGAAACTAAAGGAGTTAGAACTAAAAACATTGAAATACAGCCAAAAGTAGACTGTAATATTGTTACAAACTACTTTTGGTTGTATTTTCAGGTTTAGTTCCCACTCTTTAGATTCATATCCATCTTTTCTTTATGTTGATTGAATTTGTGATTTTTTTTATAAAAAATGTGATGAACTAGTTTTAAGTTTAATATTTTTTTAACGGCTGAATTTAATTTGTGATTTTTTAATTTAATAAATAAAAGCATGTGATGAATTAATTTTAAGTTAATATTTGATGAAGGTACTGAATTCAACTTGTGATTTTTATTAAGTTTAAGAGCATAGAAACAATTAGGTTTAATTTAACATGTATATAATAAAGAATTCTAAAGTATAAAATGAAATAAAAAGAACAAAAGTAAGGTAAATGATTTTGAATTTATTCAATAAACCGAACTGCAATTAATTTTACAACAAAGCATCAGCTATTTGCCTTCTGCGGCGCTCTCCTGATGTATTATTGGCATCTTCACTGATTGGATCTGATGATACAACGGTGTCAATAAAAATTTCAGCTTCATCTGGATCACTGGTTCTAAATTTCTTACAACCATTGTGGAAAGCGCAACAAATATTTATAATGGGAGTTGCTTTAGCAGCATCGAAAGCGACATTTCAAAACTCCGATCGTACGTTCAACGACGTTTCTAATTGACTCCCTAGTTCCAGAGTCTGCATGGCGGCTGTTAGTAAATAAGGACTAAGCGGGTATCCGGAATCACCTATAAATAAGTAGTGTTTGTTTTAAAATAGTATTTACATTAATTTTGTGCCGATGTAACAAATTTAAAGTACCTAAATAAATAGAGTTATGATCGCCACTTTGATGCATATTCTCCAAATAAGTCTTTAATGAACTATTGTTCCACACGAACGAATCATGTGTAGAACCAGCATATCTAGCATCCACAAACCGGATATTCATGTCATGATCGCAAGCCTTTAATATACAATTTGTTTATGGGTGTTGCTGTATTCATATCTTAAAAACTTACAATCATAGCATTTATACTAAAAAAGCCTTTTCTATTTAGATAGAGGTGTCTATTTGCGGTGGGGGCATAAATCGCAATATGTGTTCCGTCAACACAGCCAATCACGTTGGGTATTCCTGATCTGGAGAAAAATTTGCTCCTTGCCTGTTGCTTCTCTTCTTCTGTCATTTCTGTGATTATCGAAGCACTGCAAATTTCTCTTTCTACCTCCTTTAAAATTAGCGAAACTGTAGGTTGCGCAGACCCAATTGAAATTCATTTCCTACAGCTTGCTGATAACTGCCATGCGCAAAAAATCTCAGTGCGCAACACAATTTTAGCATTGGCGTTACAGATCAGGACAGGCGGCAATTAAATTTGTCCTTGATTTTGTCCAGCACATACATAAAAGCGTCCTTGCTTAGCCGAAAATTCGCTATAAATCTATAAATACATATTCATATATGCATACATTTTTCATGTTTAATTGAATAACCTATCTGCACTGGATACTTACACTGTGGACGGCAGCTCCATAGGATTAGAGTAATCTCTTATAAAACGCCGCTGACGAAGAAGGTTAGCTCGCGGTTCAACATTATAACTATCCTCAAAATATAAATCTACGTTATAAAACATTTTGCTTTTCAAATTTTAGTTTGTAATAACAAGGAATTCGAAGTATAAATGACAGAAACGTCAAATGAGGATGAACTCATTTAGTTTGTTTGAATGGCAACGACGCATGTCCGGCGAAAAAGTTCATTCGCCACTCACAATGCAAATTTTAGGTGTGTTCGCCAAACCGTTCGCTTCGCCAAATTTATTCGCTTCGCAAGTGACAATACCAGCCATAAGTATGCTCGCGGTGCTCCAACAGTCGCAACGGCCCTGCAGTGAAAAGCTGAACCAGTATGCACAAATTCCAGTTATGATTAATCAAGGATAAAAGTCATACCAGTTCGTTATGAACCATAATAACCAAACTAAAATACGGTTAATTGCTTTCACCACAAATGTCGGCTGTGGCGTCGAGTGAAGACTACCGATTCTGGTTCTGAGATCTCAGGTTCGAGTGCGCGTGGAGGCTGTTAAAGTAACGTAAGTAAATTAATTTAAATAATTATTTCCATTTAAATATAAAATAAAAATTGTACATAAATCTAAATTCATATGGAAAAAAAATAATATTTAAATACCGTAAAAAAAATTAAAATAAATAATTGTTTTTTGTTTTTAAAACAATACATTTAAAAATTACAACTAGAGATAAAAAAATAGGTATAAGAAAAAACTAAGAATAAAAAAAAAAAGATTCGCTCACTGAGATTCGAACTCGGATCTCTTGATTTGGCATGCCAAAGCTTTACTCTGTCGACCATTTCCACTGTTGCAGCACCGCGAGCAAAGGCTGACTTCCAAAACGTATCAATACAATGTTTGGAAACTGTTATACTGCGGTATTCAAACTGTTTGTATATGCAGAGTTGCGACACATTGCAACCATATACATTGCATATTTTAAATATTCAATATAGCAATGAACAATTTTTCTGAATTTTCCATATTTAAAACACCAATGCTAACCAATAACAAACGAAGCATCAACTTTGTTTCTGATGCGCTGATTGCTCAAGCGATGCGTTTCGATAACTTATCGGCTGCGTTTTGGAACAGTATACATTGTCAATATTTTGTAGTTCGACGTTATGGAACCTTATACTTTGTACGTATACAAAGCAGAGGTTTACGCCGACAGGCTTTGCGGCGGCGGCGTGGTCAACTTCAAAAAGAGTCGGCGGTGGCGGCGACGCCGGCGCGTCTGGAAACGCCGGCGCTACTGCGCATAAGGTAGATTCAAAAGAGCCATGGCTACTAATCTTATCATGTCATCTCGTCAGCGTTAGGCATTCGCCATGCCAATTAAGACTATAATTCTATTGAATTAATTCATTGAGTTAGTTTTAAATTTAAATTACGTTACTCCTTACTTGAATTAAAATGTGGAGTGTCTGGCGCTGATGGATGGGCGAACAGAAGAAGGTCTGAGGTATATACGTACATACATACATGGCTCTCTATGTTCTCTTCAGATCCGTATGTTCTATTTAAATTTAAAGAAATAAAAAAATTAAAAAAGTTAAGTTATTGGGGTAATTTATGTTGCTATCAATAAATTTTTGCAATAATCTTATCAACTGTTCTGTTGAATTACGGAGTTCTTAGATACGATTTTTTGCGGATTACATATTGAAAACAAAGTTGGTTTACTTTTTTCTAAAGGTTTATTCCATCAACTCGAACCAGAACGGGGTTTTTGACCCACTGTTTAAAAAAATGCCTTGTAGATGGTTTAAATTTCCATTAAAATATTAAGCCCCGAATTTTTCTAAGAAGAAGAGAACCGAATGTAATGAAAAAAAAGAATACTAATTATTACTAAAAAGGGGGAACTTTAACCCTGTGTAGAAAACATTGCGATGCGAGGGAGCAAAACCTTCCTGGGGTTTGACCACCACTAAGGAATGCTAATGTAATTTTCACACAGCCACCTAGTACTTGTATACGTACCCCAGAATAAAATAACTTACGAATGTAAAAATTAGCATAAAAAAGGGTTTGCTTTTTATTAAAAGTCTGTTTAAAATATTAAAAAAAAATACACAGGAAAATCAACTTGTCTTTGTTTTATCTCCAATAATTGAGATATGCGCGTTAAAGTTTTTGATGTGTTATAACCTGTTGTTGTAGTATGTGTATCAAAAAGTAGTATTGTTGTAGTATTGAAAAGAATTGTCTACTGCAGAAAAAAATAGTTAGATGACCAGTATTCGACCCTAATTTAACTGTAATAAACGCTTTCGATCGAAAAATATGTTACCTATGTTTTTTCTGAGTTATGTTCTTTTTGGAAAAATAAAAGAGATCATATTATTTTCCAGTGGCCCAAATTATGCAAAAACAACCCCTTTAAAAATGTAATTTTCATTTCGTAAAATTGTGTTTTTATACTAGTAGTATTTAGTTCCTTCAGACGATGTATTTCAATGTACATACATCATGAAAATGTTGTACAAAATTCCTTAGACGCCGAACGTCGCCGCCGCCGCGCCCATACTTTTGTAACTAGGCGGCGGCGCTTGAGGAATGACAAAAAACGGCGGCGTCGGCGGCGCACAGTGGTTCGGATCGCAAATCTAGCTGGACGAAACTATTTAAACAAATACTCGTTGATGGATCTTTACACCACTTCTTACCTAGGGGATTTATGGGTCGCTGATTACGAATCTGAAGTCACTTATCAAAAATTCAAAATGGCGGATCCAATATGGCGGACGAAAATAAAAAAAATCGGTAGATTTCTATGAAACTGGGTATCTAGGGGTTTTCTGGGTCGCTGATTACATATCTAAAGTAATTTACCAAAAATTCAAAATGGCGGATCCAATATGGCGGACGAAAATAAAAAAAAATCGGTAGATTTCTATGAAACTGGGTATCTGGGGGTTTTCTGGGTCGCTGATTACATATCTAAAGTCATTTACCAAAAATTCAAAATGGCGGATCCAATATGGCGGACGAAAATTAAAAAAAAAAATCGGTAGATTTCTATGTAACTGGGTATCTGGGGGTTTTCTGGGTTGCTGATTTCGAATCCAAAGTCATTTAATTAATTTACTTTATTTACTTCGGAACGAGCATTTTCATCAGATATTTCTTTCAATTTACTAATCACATAATCACGGGCACCTTGTTGTCTTTTAGAAGTTTCAGCAACACTTCTCCAAATGTCAAACAACTCACTTCTTAAGATTTTATTTACCACGACTAAAATTTAAGATCACAGCAAGAAACACAAATAAATTTCAGAAAAAATTTTATAACAGCGCTTAACCCTCTAGTAGGCAGAACCGCCTCCAGACGGTCGTTAACTAAATACCTTTTTAGTGCACCTATAATAATTTTTTTCTATATTCGTAAGGCACGATCTTTAGACAAAAATCGTACCCTTACGGCGAAGTAAATTTTAATCCGTTATGCCAATCCGTTTTATTTTAATCGGCAGTTGAATTACAGATTTTGAGAACAAGGTTCAAATTAATTATTTCTTGCTATTTAGTAATTTCGTAATTAAAGAAATTTTTTCTTTTGAAAATTTTTTTGATATAAAAAAATTTGGTGAATTTCGTTGTTAAAAGCACCGTATTTTAATATAAGTTTTATAATTATGTCACCATTCGAAATGGAGAAAATTGCTTTCGAACACAGACCGTCTACAGACCGGCTTGCCGACATATAAAACCCCAGTTTTGCATTTTTGACCGTCTGCGGACGGCATTGCCGGTTCGTAGGTCAACATTGTGTAAGAGAAAGCTGAAAATATGTGTAAGTATATCGGCGAGCCCGTCTCCAGACGGTCTTGGTTTTTTTCCCCTGTAGGAAAAAGTTACTGTCACAGATCGAAATGGACATCAGTTTTGGATTTCTCGTGCTAAAATCACCCATTCCTGAATTTTTCAACTCATAAAAAATTGGCCTACTAGAGGGTTAAAGATTTTTATGCCTGTTGTATAATTTTTTAATTTCAGAAAGCAGAAAATTCGCGAGTTACTATTTTTTTTTAACTCTTGCATAACCAAAGCTTTTATAACTCCAAGTATTTTTCTGTTTTAACACCCAACCCCTACCGCCTCCTCCCCCCCTCTCCCCCGTGGATCCGCCACTGATCTTATATTTATATTCAGTGCATTCCTGTTAATAATTACTTTTGAATTATGAGATTTGACATACCGTCACTAAAATGTAAATATCTAAGCCAATTGGTTAGACTTGGTTATCGAACTTACCCACTGCATTTGCGAGGGTGTAAAGAATAATATGCAAGTACCCTGCAGGGAGTGACGTTAGCTTATACCTAACTTTAGTCTGTTTACGCGAACACTAGTGCTAACTATTAACTGTGTATTTTGTTCGAAAAAATCTAACTACTTTTGTGGGGCGATGGCCGCAAAAAAGTCAGACCTGGATACCTCTGCATTACATGTCAACTAACTTGTAACTAACTACTTTTGGACATAAAATATCAATAAGAAAAACAAAATATTTTTTTGTTTTTTTACTTTTTTATTTTCTTATTTATTTACTTTATTTTATTACATTTCATATTTGTTTACATATTCTGCTCTGGGTAGCCCCATATTCGAACACCGTCAGACATAACTTCAAAATGATAGTATAAAATTTCGATCTTCCTTTTATTTGTCCTGAATATGAAAAAGAATCTGCGAAGTTCAGAAAAAAAGTGTATTGAAAGTAATTTTTGTATGAGGATATTTAATAGAAACTTGTAAAGAAAACCAACTCCCGATTGCGTCTGCATGACTCCTGCACGACTTTACAATTCACTTTAAGTTGGTTTTGTCATAGCTAATTAAAAGTGAGGTATTAATTGAAATCTCGCCAAAAAGCTGCAGGGTGGTTTTATAACGGCCTTCGACGGCCTTTACTTTTCCTACTCTTTAATTTATTTTTTTAATTAATCAAAACGACGATTTTTCAGAATAAATTTGCTTATACCAATGTGGACATAAATTGCGTTATGACCTCTGGTTCTATAGCGGAATAAGTGTAATTTTTCGTTTATAAAGTCAATTTGCAATTATGCAATTATCTGTGAGTGCAAATAGCAATCTTTTAAGTTAAATTTCAGCTTTTAAAATAGAGTTCTCAAATAGGCGGCGTTGACTTACCTTTTTTTGTTTGTTTTCATATGTTAATGCTTTAATAATTGCAACTTCTATTTGAATGTATTGTCAGGAATGTATTCCAAGTACCATTAAGTATTTTAAAAACAAAAAAATTTGACTTTCGTCCAGCTAGATCTGCTATCCGAACCACTGTGCGGCGTGGCTCGGCGGCGTATACCTCTAATACAAAGCAATTGACGTTTTGGGAG